CTAATATTATATGTGTTAACAATGTTACAACCAAAAGACATTAAGAATACGTAGACTATTATATAACATATGTGAAAGTATTAAAATATTTTATATTATTATCGAAAAATGTGAAATTACCTCAATTCTGTCTAGACTATTTTATAAGAAAAATATATATACTTAAAGTTAGCATACACACACATATATATATCCTTAAAGTTTGCTCAACTAACATGTTTAAAAGTATATACAATTTTATATATAAAAACACGTTTAAAGTTTACATATTTTACAAAAATTAGACTGCTCTCAGTTTATATAAAGTTTGTTGCTCTCATATTCGGATAACGTATTATGCATTTAATGAAAGCACCCTACGATACAAATTTATAAATATTAATTTTAATAATTTTCTAAATTATATAAAATTGAAATAACAAAGGTAAATATTACCTGTTCATCATGAAACAGTATATGGAATGCGTTACAGCTCTCCCGTTCGTGATGGGTTTCAATAATGCGGGGTGCTCTCAGACGCAAAAAAAGTTTGTTTCTTTTGTTAACGGAATTAAGTGTACGCACCTCTCCCGTTCGTGATGGGTTTCAATAATGCGGGGTGCTCTCAGATGCAAAAAAAAAGTTTGTTTCTTTTGTTAACGGAAGCATTATATTGTATATGGTGGAAGCATTATTCTCTGTATTTTTTTTTCTCTGAACTCGTGAATGATGAGTTGTAATGGTGGTAGTGAATATCCTTTTATACAATTTTTTATTAACCAAAAGTGATAAGATAATTATGGATTGTTTTTGGATAGATAGTAAGTCCCATGATTTTTGCAACGGACAATCAATTTCACATATTTTTTATTAACCAAAAGTGATAAGATAGTTATGGATTGTATTTGGATAGATAGTAAGTCCCATGATTTTTGCAACGGACAATCAATTTCACATGCTTAATTAACGGAAATATCACTATTATTAAGGAGAATATCCATTTGCTTAATTAACGCAAATTTCATGCTAAATTAACGAAATATCCACTGCCTTTTCACGATTTTTCTTCCGATTTTAAAGTAGAATACATAAATAGAAAGTCAAAAGTCAACTCAATTATTTTTAGGTTTCTAAAAAATGATTTTTACATCAACTTTTTTAGATATATATAGATGTAAAATATATAGAAAACGTGCTCAGGTGTGGTGTAGTTGTATATATTAACCTAGAATAAAATGACACTTTAAGGTTTAAGCTATTCGGTGCGGTTCGGTTAAAACCGCACCTTTCGGACAGAAAACCGAACCGCACCAAATTTTTTCGGTTTTTCTGTTAATGAAATCGAACCGTAACCGAAATCTTTAAAAACCGCACCGAACCGCACTGAATGCACCGATTTGGTTTGGTTTTTTGGTTTCGGCTCAGTTTTGCTCACCCCTAGGCATGTGTTCTGTTCTTCTCCTAATTCCAAGTTGTGATGTATTTATAGGCTACAACAGGGACCCTAAGGAGATATTAAATTGGGTTTCTCCTATTAGGAGTAGACTATAAGCCAAGCCTACTAAACCCAAATAGAAATAATACATCTATTCCACTAAAGTAGTATTATTGAATAAACTCTCAATTTAATTCCCGAATTATATTCGAGTCTCCAATAATAATTACTCGATTTATCTCCCCGTGTTTAAGATATAATGTCTATCAATTAATTTAATTATTGACAATTAAATTAATTGATATCTATAACCGAGACTAGTACCACTCATCACATTATTATTATGTCGGAATAAATTCCACTGGCCAAATTTAACATAATAATCCTTCATGAGCTCATCTCGGGAACATCATCAAACTATCACATACGGTGGCTGTAAATATTCTAACAGCACATTGTACATACAATAATATTACCCAAAACAGTAAGTATATTGACCCAGTAAACTGAATCTCACTCAAGTGAATCAAAGTAATATTTACTGCAAGCACATGCCTGTTTATATCTTACGGGTTAAGAGTACGCAGTAATTAACCGATGCCTAGTTCATTTACGAAGATCAGTATAAAACAAACTTCTCATCTCTAGAATCCGTTCAATACACAAAGTGTACTAGTGTAACTAATCAGTCAAGACCAACTGTACGGTTAACACTACAACCGTTCGCGATGGGTTGTTCATTTCCATTTAGGTTGTGAACCCACTATTCTTGTTTCGCAAGTAACTAATAGAATGATCTTCTGTTCACTCGATGATGACTCATTCTATCTAAGTGCAAAACAACAGAACATAGACTTGTCTTAACGCCGGCCGCCACCACGAATCCAGTCACCATCGCCGGACTACCTCAGTCTTAGCCAGCCACCGACAGCTTGTCAAGCTCCGATCACAGCCGCTAAAATGGGGTTTTTTCTACAAAATGACCTTAGATGTATCCACCGGCTCGACGAGACTGTGATATACAACAGTTGACCAATTATTAGACGGCGTCAGAGACGACGTGCACGACTTGGGGGCAGCTGGAACAAATGTTGTGATAGGAGTTTTTTTCAAAAATTTGATAAGATATAGGGACCTAATTGCAATTTTATAAATTTTGGTATATTACAATTGAGTTATGTGTCAAATGTGTAATTAATCAAAACATAATTAGCATTTTTTTTTTGTTTAATAATTAATAATACTTTATATTTTTTTGGCTAAAAATAAAAAATAATAACATATTATTATTATTATTGTTATTATTATTATTATTATTATTATTTAATTCGACCGGTTCGGTTGGTTTGGTTATTTAAAAAAATAAAGCCTACATCGAACTGAAATAACTGAGATTTTGAAAGTAAAAAACAGATAGTAAACCGAAATGTAAAATTTTATACCGAAAATTTTAGTTTGGCAAGTGTCGGTCGCTATAGTTCAATCTGATAGTTATTAATTTGTCATTTGTCTAACACTATGTACAATCTGATAGTCAAATTGAAAATGAACATAATTAATTTGTTTATTCGGTTCGGTTAACCGAATTATCCTAAATAATCGTAATAATTTTTCTGTATATTAACATTATATTTAATATGTTAATAATTTTATTTATTATTTTTATATTATTTTTGGTTGAAAAATTTTGAGTTTGGTCGGTTTCGATGTCTTTTGTGGAATTAGGTATTCGTGATAAATGTGCACCGTGTTGTTCTGTAAAGTGCAACGTGTTGTTTTATAAAGTGCAACATGTTGATGTATAAAGTGAACTACATTTTGGTATGTTACCATGTTTGGATTTTGTGTGGATAAATGATGTGATTGATGCTAAAGTATTATTATGTATATCCGTTTTTTAAATTTATGTTTGATATTTTGATGGGAGCTATTGACGTAAATTATGGAGTGTGGTGATAATGTGCAACGTATTATTTTATAAAGCGCAACGTGTTGTTTTATAAATTATAGTATGTTGATATATAAAGTGCATTACTTTATATGATCACATATAAATTATGTGTTTTTTGAAAACTATATTTAATACATATAATTGTACATCAAATTAACCTAAATAATTGAAATAATATTATTTTAACATTATTGTGTATTCTATTGATCGGGTATTTTTTTATGAGCATTTCAATTTTATAAACTTTAATAATATTTATTTTAATTAACGTCATTTGCATTTATCTAATGATTTATATGAAAGAAATATATTTAGTATTTACAATTTTTTATTTAATATCTTATATTATTGTTTTTATAAAATAAATAATATATCTATATATAAATAAAAGATAAAAGATAAGAATAAATACGATTGTCTAATTCGATAGTCACTAATGTGCATATCGTTTAAAATTATTTGTATATTCTGCAGTGTGTTTTTTTCATGTGCATATCCAAACTAAAAACCAAATGAGCTAACCGAATCTATACAAATAAATGAAATAATTTATTTTTTATATTATAAAAATACATTTAATATTTTACATTTCTCATTAATATTTTCATATTATTATTGGTTGAAAAATACATATTTTATATACATACCAAAAAAATATAAAATAATATTATTTTTATATATATTTCTATAAATTACAGATTTGGCCATGGGCTAAATTGAAATATAAGCAAAATGTTAGAAATTACAATCCGGCCCTTAAGACAAATCTGATTTACAAACTCTTGACATCGTCTGATGCAGCGATTTTCCCAAGTACCTGCCGTGCAGACAACAACATCGCTATCGGAGCTCTGCAACGATGCCAGCGTGTTCCCTAACGGTCGTAAGGTGCAAGTACGTGCGGACGTTAGCGTCATGCTCGCAAGAGAGATCGGCCCTCCGGCCTCCGTGCGATTAGCGTCGTGTCCTGCTGACTTGGCGGTGCAGCCTTTGGCGTCGTTGTGACGGAAGACGATGGCATTGCCGCGTCGGGAACATGGACGGTGGACGGTGGCGGGCATCTATGGCGGTGGTCGGGCTTTTCAGCCGGTTGAAGAGAGAGAGAGAGAGAGAGAGAGTGTTAGTAGTGCGTGTGTAGAGTGTGTGCGTGTGCGTGTGTGAGTAGTGTGCGTGTGTGTGATCGGCGACCAGAAATATGCCGGCGGGAGTCGTGCCCAAGTCTCTACAGTGTGTATTTGTGTGTGTGTGTGTGTGTGTGTGTGTGATTGTGTGTGTGTGAGAGAGAGAGAGAGAGAGATTGAGAGAGAGAGAGAGTAGTGTGGAGTGGGTGGGTGGGGTTGGTTGGCAGGTGTATTAATGTAGAATGGTACCCACCCCTTTGGGTGTGGTGTGGAAAATTACTATAATACTTTTAATGAATGTATAATTTTTGTTTTTTTTCAGCCGAATCATCCGATCTAACGACTATAATGTATTCTTATTTTTTTAACTAACCATCTTTCTCACTTGAACTCAACCTATATATGTGTGTATACATAGATTTCATATAATTGAAAGAACTATTTTTTTCATTAAATGATTTTTCTTTTCCAAATAAAATTATATCCTATTGCACTCGTCTCTCCAAGTTTCAAATGCGACTCCACCTCATTTGTAATGACAAGGCAAAGAAACGTGGTTTGCTTTTCTTATCCATTGGCAGATGCCCTCCTCTCAATTAGACGGGCAAAGGCCATAGAAACATTTCTCTCTTGTCACAGGTATGTCGTTCTTCTAATCTAGTCTAATGATTTCTTTGACACACCAGCGATCTCGTGTTTTTGCGTTGTTTTATACAAATTTTCTATGTTCTCGAATCTCATTATCTGTTGGTTTGTTACACCCTGCCCCTTTCTTTTTCAGTATTTTGTGGATATGTGTTTATTTTCATCGAAAGTCAGAGATTGTGAGGCATTTCTGGAATTTAATCGAGTAAATTAATAATAAGGTCAAGAATCATGGGTAGCTATTATGAATGTCTCTGTTACTGATAACAGGAGGATTTGCAGGTTACATCGTATGGTAGTTTTATGCAAGATACTTTTTGGGTGTACCTGTAAGGAACGTTAATTGTGCTGGATAACTAGATTATTGAACTCAGCAATCTTATTAATCTGAGTTAGGCTTTGATCAAATGCTAGTATTTGCAAATACTGATATAAAAAAAAAATACAATTCAGGGCTTTTTTGGGTTGAAAATACACTTCATTCTTTCCACGAGGCTTTGCAAACACTCCCCAAACTTTGCAGTAGTTGAGCTACTTCGTTTCGCCTAATTCTGATTGTTTATTTACTGGCATGTAATGATTTTCAGGTGAGTGGGAACAAAAACCTATGTGATTTGTCTTGGTTTTAACGGAAAAAGGCCCCATTCACATGATGCTATCCTTGACGAAAAGTATCACCACTTTTCCCTTCCGAATCTCACATGCTCCCCAAAATTGTTGTCATCTCCACCAGTTTCTTGTTATCCGTAGCAGTAATGAAAATGGCAACAATGTGAATACCGATAATAGCATCAGTACATCGCCACCTGTCCGGCCAAGAATCACTCCACCAGAGACTGTAGAAATACGGTTCAAAAGGGGTTCTAAAAAAAGGAGAAAGCAACAGCAAAAAGAGCAAGAGCAACAACAGCTGGATAAAATGGCTCGAAAGGATTGGGATTCAATGAGCCTCGCAGAGAAGGCCATAGAGTTGTACGTGGGTGAGAAGGGTTTGCTCTTCTGGCTCAACAAGTTTGCGTATGCCTCGATTTTCATAGTAATTGGGGGTTGGATAGTGTTCCGATTCGTGGGGCCTGCACTCAACCTGTACCAGCTCGACACTCCTCCCCTCTCTCCTAATTCCATCTTGAAGGGATCTTGACATAAAAAAAAACATTTGTCATCGATATTTATTTCTCTGTGGCTCACATTTTGAATTGGATGTATTGTGGCTAAATCATCATTTCTGGTTTTTTTTTTTTTANTTAGTATATTGTTGAGTTAATTAGTGTTGTTTGTCTATGGGTCATCTTCTCTTCTTTTGGCAGCCTTGTTTGTCTTGTGACTCACATGGCAACTTATGCAATAAAACTACAAGCAGCTGTTTAGCTTTCGAATAACACTACCTGCAGCAGCAGGCTTCATAAATGGTGACCGATCGACTCAGAGCATGACAAGCAAATAGAAACAATATTCATTAGTATAGATGGAGACAATTGTAAAAACCACCTCTATGTGATTAAAATTAGGTCAAACCGACACCACGGTTTGTTTTGTAATTATGCCAACACAATAAATAAATAAGTAGAAGTTCTTGTATTTATGAACCATATCATTGTTATGAACAAATTAAACTGCATCCGCCAAAACAACTGACCACAATTTTCCTTTCTCAATATTTATTCAACTTTATCCGTATTTCCTACATAAAAAAACGTGGGAGGGGAATGATTTGCAGGTGATATAGCATATAAGACTCGACACTGAACTGGAGCTCGGCCAACGACCATACGATCAGCTCGAGTACTTCGAGTAGGTCAAATGGGGCCTAGTTGGCACTCGACTTAAGTCGACCTATGGCCCGCACGACCTCAGACCCAATATTTCGGGTTACAGACTTATGATCTGCATGATACCAAGAACTGCTCAGTAGGGACCTGAGGTTGACCTGGACAAGATATTTTTGGGCAACAATGTATTCTTGGAGAACAAGACATTGATCTCCGAGTATAAAAGGGTAAGATATATGTAACTATGGTTTTTCTTATTGGGTTCGGGGAATAAACTCAACAGAACATAATGCATTTAATTTTTTTTTTAATATTATATTTACAAGTTCTAATATGTATGGATAGAATTCAGATTTACATAACAACTTCGAAGCACCATATATTGAAACATAGAACTACGAAACACTAGAATTCGACAAATTGAATTATGAAGCACCAGAAATCGACGAGTTGGATCACGACATTCCGCATTAATTTATATATAGGAAAAGTATTACTTTCAAAATGTATCAAATACACAACTAGTGCATGCGATACCAGTGACCAAATGGCTACTAGTTATAAAAATTGTGACTGGAATTTATAGAAAAATGCAAGAGAGTATTTTTGTTGTTTGAATAACGAAATACTTTTTAAAACAGTGCATTATATTGTATTTTATAATAAATTTTTAATTTATATATAATGAATTTATAGATAACTTTTATTATTGATATATAAATTTTATTATTCTTTTAGTTAGAACTAATAAATGATTTAATTTTTATAATATAGAAAATAGAATTATTTATTTATTTTATATATGCTTCAAATTAGATCTCGTGAAAAGATAATATATTTCTATATATAAGAAATTGATAAGAAATACAAAAGCTAAAAAATTTTAATATATTAGTAAAAGTTAATCTGAGTGTTTTAAAATTGTAAAAGTTGTAATAGATATGAATAGGATTACGTGGACTATTATAAAGCACAAAAAATTGGCGCATAGGAGCACAAGATGGCGACTCATATAAAGAGGACATTCTTTGCAGAGCCGGTCCTAGCCTTCATTAGGCCTTGAGCAAAATGTAAGAATAATGTCCCTCCTTTTTCGTTCATTACAATGAAATTTATGAGATTTTAACAATTACCATCCCATACATTAGTAACTTTGCATGAATTAATAAAAAAAATTGTCCCTCATTTATGTTTATTTCAATGCAATAAGCTAGACTAAATAAATAAATTATAAGAAAATTTATATAAACATAAATCATAAGTAAGTACGAACACCGTTACAAATCATATAATTATATGTAAGTTGAATATTATATTTATATAAATCCTTATAATTTTGTGGAGAAAATTAACTCTCCTTTATTTTAATATATTCAATGAGTTGTATATTTTTTAAAATAAATAGTGATTATAATTTATAATACATAAACTACAAAGATACACCAAAAGAAAAAAGAATCTAATAGGAATAAATGGGTTGGTAGGTTCTGATATAGAATTTAAGAAAGTTTTGTGCATTTAATTTTTGTTGCAATTGATATTTATTGATAACCGATCTATTGTAATATCATTTTAATTACTAGTACGTAGCCCGTACGATACACGGGACAGAGATGTTAAATGCATCATTACCGGAATAGAAATGTTAAATGCATCATTACCGGGATAGAAATGTTAAATGCATCATTAGCATATGGCCTTTCTCTTAGACCTGAAGAAAGAAAGAAAAAAGGTAGAGTCGAATCATCTATTATCCACCTCTCTGAGATGTTAAATGAGTCATTTTCGTATGGTTTGTCTCTTACAGTAATACTATATATAGAGCCATCGGATTGCTCCCTTATGGAGCCATCCATAACTTTATGTATTGACACATGTCCAATTTGCATTTATTGCAGGACACGCGTCAATACACCATTTGTGGATAACAATGGGTGGCTCCATAAGCTGAACCATCCGATGGCTCCATAGCAAAACCGTTGTCTCTTAGGCCTGAAAAAAAAAGTAGGATTGGATCATTTATTCTCCACCTCTTTTAATTAGAGTTGTTTTTTTAGCCAGAGCGCTAAACTTGATCCGTTAGCAGTTAGCCTGTAAATTAATTAATATATTAAACCACTAACACGTTTATACTAATGTAAATTTGATTATAGTATATATATTTATTACTTAATATAAGAAAAAATAATAATTTTAGTTATTCTTGTTCACAACATAATATTTAGTTATTATTTTATTATAAAATTTGTGGTCATATAATGTCATCATTATTATTTATAAAAGTTTTAGAAGTAATCTTCTTCTTATTTTTATTTTATATAATAAAGTATTTATCGTACACTAATATTATTTATTAATATATTAATATAAATTACGTAAATAAATTATAAATTATATACATCGCTCAGTCTTTTACATCCACTCCACAGGAAAAACAACTGCGCAGACTAAGGGAGTGCATACTTGGCTTTCTCGTTGAGTCTAACATTATGACTTAAGGATGTGCTCAATTTTCAGTGTCTCCAAAATTTAGTATTTAATTTTAGGTTCATTTGATTAAATATGAAGCAGATTGTCTCACTTTTCATTATTTTCTTTTATTTTTGTTAGTTAGTTCAAGTCCTTGCCAACTTGCCGTAGAGGAGAAAAAAAAAATCTCTCTTCCTCACGTGTCCAAGTAACCCATAAGATCAAATGAATTCTCAATTGTCTAGCACTGAGTTCTTCTCTTTTTAAGTGTACACTGACATTCTATGCAGGTAAGAGAGTTAAACTGTACTGCCTAACAAACTCAAATGCACAAAATTAAGCAAAAAAAGTGGTGACAATTATGCCAAACAAAACTAATGGCAGGCACAAGTAGGCATCAAATACTGTAGGATGAATATAACTAAATAGAAAACTGTTTCAACTATGCAATGAAGACACAAAGCAACTGAAACTCTCACAGACTCTGCTAAAAACAAACTTTTCAAGAAAACTAAACTGGAAAGCCGAACAGATAAATTCCTCAACATAATCAACAGTTGCGTCTCAACATTATCAACTACAATTTCTATATTCTAGTTTTCAATCACACTATCACACGTCCATGCATTATGAGATCACAAAGACTCGTAAGATCCAACACTTAACTCACAAAGCTACAAATAGAACAAAAAAAAAAAAAAANTAAAAAAAAAAAAAATAAAAAAAATCAGGTTTTTCTAGCCACCATCAAATTAATGAGCTGTTAAAAGAAAATTGCAATGCTGCAATAACCACACAACAATATTAAATTGGTTGGAAACAGAGAACAACATCATTTTCTTAATCTGGAGCCAATTAAATCTGGCATGAGAATGAAAAAGTACACGATTTTCAAAATAATCATAAAATACCATCTAAAGTAATCATCATGCCAACATTATTTTGAGCTTAACTAAAGGTCTAAATGGAGATCCCAATCCATTGAAACCTATTTATGCTGAGCACGTATGTTGAATATAAAAAAAATTTTCGATGCAGCACACAAAATATTACTCTCCAAAATATGATCCATGAAAACCACAATTGACATAACATGAATCAATCCATGCTTACAAGATTATCATGTTTTAGGATACAGAAATAAACCAACAATATTTTAAACAATGACAAAATGACAAAGAGGAGCTAAAAGACGAACTGAATTCCACCTTATCAAAGTTATCACCCACTCAAAATCATTCTTCAAACCAATTAAGATGGTTGTGGATTAGCAACAACAATCAAATCATGACCAGCATCTACAACTTCTAGTGATGATGGAACATTTATAGACTCACTAATTGCCACAACCTAACACAACCGAAATCAAAAAGAAAAAGCTATAAACACACAAAATCCATATATATATATATATATATATATATATATATATATATTTGGTAAGTCAACAACTATTCAGAAACAACGGCCTTTTACAGTTGACATATTGTTCGCCTATATTTTTAAAGCTCGACCGCAAGTGTACAGCTTCGCTCGTAGTATGTGGCAAGCAAGGTCGTATCCCAAGAGACCAAATAATCAATATATCAAGTACTAGATTATGATAATGTCAATTTTATTTAGACGATCAAATATTGGATGGATTAACTAACTAAGAAAATAAATCAAAGGGAAATAACGCAACAATAAGGAACTAGCTAGAAAAACACGTAAGAAGATGTATGAGAACGATAGATTCTAAGAATATGGTTTCAATTAGCAGTTGGGTTCCTTCAAAAGTATCACAACCAATGTTTTCTTTATTTCCCCTATAAGATGATCACAAATTTAGCTTATCGTCCCTCTCAAGATCGATAAAACCTTAGATTAAATCACATATATTAGCGTCTCCACTCAACACATGCAATTCAACTCCAAATAGATTAAAAGATCTAACATTGAACTCATCTCTCGAATTATAAACAATATTGCCAAACATGTAAAAACATTGGCCAAGTGCTAAACATGAAATAAGAACAAAATATTTGAATAGGGTTCAAAAGAAAACAATCAATTATAATAAATCATCCAAAATCCCAACATATTAATCTACTACCAAGTCTTAGAATCAAATCAACTAGCCACTCACATAGACATATTAGAAATCGACATGATCAATAAAAGTTCAAAAGGAAAGAAAAAATAAAAGTATCTCGTCGATTTTTTAATCTTCTTGATCCCTTTGTAGTTGATCTTCTTTTACTTCCCAATTGTTTCTCTTGTGTATTCTAGTGCTCTTCTAATGTGTAATACCGTTTTTCCCTTCAAAACTAGGTTAAATATGCCTCTTTTTGTGTCCAAAAACCTCCTCATCATCAAAATAGGCAAATACTAAAAAACAGTTTCCGCACGCGACACGGCCATTCTGCCTGTGTCACTGGCCGTGTCGCAGCCCGTGTCAGGTGTACAGACCCAATATGACTCTGTTGAGGTGACACGGCCTCTAACACGGGCATGGTGCCCGTGTCACAAACTTGCTTGCTCGTTTTTGCTCGTTTCACTCCTTTCTTCCATTTTTCTCATCCGTGCATCAATCTTTCATCATCCCGGGGGTCCTAGGTACTCATCGTGCGCTCCAATAGCCAAAAGCTCTACAAATATGTGGAAATATCTACAAAACAAGCACGTGTAATACCTTTCCAACAAATATAGAATTAAAGCACAATAATACAATTTATACACCAATAATGCAATGAATAAGCTCTAGATACTATATAAACATGGTGTAAAATCACACATGAACATATATGGAAAAAGACAATAATACAATTGTACATGCCAAACAATACAGAAACTAAAGACATGTGATAAAATCAAAACCTATTAGTCTTTGAGTATTGAATCTCAGACAGCGACCCCACCGAAAACTCGTGTAACTGAACGTCGACCATGAGAAGATAAAAAATTGGGTAGAATCTGAAACCAACATATTACTGGAATTTAAGGCGCATCAAAAAACAAATAAAGAAAATAATCATAGGTTCAATATCTGCAAAACATTAAAGGGTGAATATCTATTTCAAAAAAATGTTTCAGTATTACCCGATGTCGAGCTACACGGTCTTAGCAGCGGGATGACGAACTGCAATTTGCTGGTACCCAAAGCTGGCTAAGTGGCTGAGGAACGCTGCGGCGATGGTGTCGCTGCTCAATCGGAATCTTGCCGGAGTACAATCCATCGGAATTCGAGTTCTGAGAAAAATCTTTGATATGAATTAACCTCTGAAAAAAACTGAATTTACATATTGTTATGCTAATTAAACAATTTCTCCTCTGTAGGGGTGGCGACGGACGATTGAGTTAGTCGTGGTGGTACGGATGATCTAGGACAAACACTGCTAATTGAATTTTTGGCATAATACCCAACACTTATTAAAAATTGAGCTATTACATGTTTTACCTTGTTTTCTTTCATAGGCTAGGGGAGAAGACTCTGAATGTTGTAACTAAGCCCCGCTTAACTTATTTTGAACACTTAAAGAAGCTGATCCAAAAAATTAAAGACGAACACGATTCAGTCCAACATAAAAACCCCAACTAAAATGAATAGAACACAAAATTAAACAAACAAAAAAAAAAATCCATTTTTTACTCATTGAACTAATTGCCCATGAGCAGTAGCAGGTTAGAATTTGGATCTGGTCAGATGAAGAGACCATACAAACAAAACACAAACAAAATGCATAAGGATCTGAAAGTACCTGGAGAAGAGAGCCTTATTTGCGGCAGTTGAGGAGAAATGCCGACTGGTTATGACTGAAGGTAATGGCGTTGTTCGAGATGCGGGCTTGGAGGAGGTCGGTGCAGAGAGACAAAGGGAAGGGCACTGTTTAGAAGAGTGCGTCGACAAATGATGGCGGTGGTGGCGAGTTCGTCGACAGAGGGTGGCGAAATGCGGCGCGGCGTGGTGGTGGTGGAGGATTATGCTTCAACAACTTGAAAATGTTGATCTATGTCTGCACCCTCTTTTTCTTTTCTCCAGCAACCCTTTTTTGTGAGGTTTCTTTTTTTCTCCGCCGAAGCCTCGACATATTCTTTTTTCGGCCTTGGGTGCCATTGTTAATTGTTTGAGAAAGGTGGGAATAAAGAGCACCAATTATATTACGAACGGCTAGGTTAAAGAGTTGTTAGTAAGATAAGATGAATGTTACCTTATTTAAATTTTTTCAAAAATTTCAAAATACATTTAGGAAGGATTTTCTTGAAATTTAAATTTTAAATATGACAAATCCCATAATTTATGGTAGTATTAAATATATCCCTAAAATATTTGTATCACTTAAATGGCAACAGTGATCATATTTGATTAGAATGATTCTTCACGTTAACTACATTGATTTTTTTAATTTGAGTTTCAAATAATTGACCGTCATTTTTCAAAAATATTTAAAAAAGTTACTAATAAAAGTAAAAACGAATTATTTTGGCGGGATTTCAGTTACTATTACAGGTAAATGTCAAACCTTTTTATATTTATATAGATATATAGAGAGATTCCACATTTACCCTCTTTTTTTACCTACCTAATCATGCTGATTTAAACAAGCATTCAGTTTTAGAAAGGTACTTTCATTTTACTTTTTTTTTTTTCCTTTTTTCTCTCTCCCTTTCTCTCTCCCATTTTTTCGTCAAACTTCTATGTGTTTTTCTTTTCTCTATCTTCTTCATTCTTCCTTCTCAAAAGTACAGACCACATATCCCTAATTACTTCTCATATTTCGAATCGATTTCTTATCCATAACACACTCACATAAAATACACCTCCTCCAAAATTCCCAATTCCTTATTATTTGCATTAGTGATTAGGCAAAACAAAGGTTCCTTTGAATGGTGTCCCCTTCAAATTAGGCCATGTTCTGGCCCTGGGCCAAGGCCGGCTCTGATTCTTTGTTTACATTGGACCATAGGGGTTAACTACTATTATATAATAACATGACGACACAAACTACATGTGTGTGAGAAAACATTGCAACAAAGGAAAAGTGAATTCGAAATCGAAAGCACGCAAGTATCTCAAATTTGAGCACAATTTATTCATTTATATTCGAACGTCATTTATTCATTTCTCTTATTCATAATCGAAACCACACAAGTATCCAAATTTGAGCACGATTTATTCATTTATATTCGGACAGTACACATTTCTTTTATTCATATTTCACAATGATCACATATCAACCTCACACTTGTTCACCAACCACATAATCATATATAGATGCATTCATAGAGTAGTTAGGCCATGAGAAAATAGAAATTGTGTACGGACATTCATCTCATAATTAATCTCATTAATTAAGAATTAATTAGTATATGGGAGATGGCGAGTCTCGATATCCTTGGTAACTTTAAGACAAAAGTCCATGAGGGAATGCGGATTTGGGACATTCTCGTTCTTTTTCTCGTAATCTAGAGTCCATGTCACCATATTCATGTTGTTCCCGTTAGCGTCCACGTGGACAGTGAGCTTGAAGGATTTGTAGAGCTCCATAAGATCGCCTCCGATCACCTTGAACGTCACCGACTTCTTCTCCTCGTCAATTGCCTCTATTATTTCCTTTGCTACCCTCTCCTTACCATCTACATGTTCAGTAAATTGTTTATAATTCAGTAAGGACTAATTAAAGATGAAAAACAAAAAGAGAAATAAAGCTATAGTTATTAGTTGACCTACCACCCCACGGCCCATGTGTTTTATATCTAAAAAATTATATTTAATACACTTTGATGTTGTCTGTTTCCGTTTTTGGATTAAATTATTAGGGTCCGAATAAGAATGAGTACGTTACTCCGTGAATTTTTTTTCTACCTTATGTTGCTAATGAAAATTTGGTGAGCTCTAGCTGAATGTTTATTGCTAAATAAAAAATCAACAAATTCTAGCTATAATTTCAAAGAATATTGTTCCAATTTTATAAAATTAATTCCAACAAAAATTATATATTCTAATAAAAATAGTTCCTATAACAATAAACTGTTAGAAACACTACATGAAAACGATGAAATTCAACTAAAAATTTTAACCAAAATTATTTTTGTAATTAATTACGAAGCAGCTGAGAGTTTTAAAGCTTCCATTTACAATTTAATTTGGAGTGGAACAGCTTTAGCTAATTTATGCTACTTTGTTTG